ATATTAGCATGTATATAGGCATGTCGTGTATTATTGAGGATATCAATTATACGGTTGTCAATCATCAGATATAACCTACAACTTGTTTATAAACTAAGGCAGTAAAGAGGCCCAAGCCTTGTCACTCTCAACAACGCTGAGTAGCTCTTTGGTTGGAGGCAGTTATATAAACCTTGGTCAATTTGTTCTTATTTACACAAAAAACAGAGGACCCATAGCTGATGGCCGAATGGTTAGTACGTGCGCGCTGTATCATAAGGTAGGTCCTCGAGTCAACTGGCGTAGTTTCGATTCCCCGGTTGTACGTGACAAGGAGTAGGGTCACCTGTCCAACCTCGTGGGTTTTCTCCGGTTTCCTCCCACTGCTAAAGACCCATACGCGCACGCGAATTATTGATATTACATTGAACCATGTGTTAGTCTCGAAATGACCTAGTTTGTGTCGAGTGGACGTTACCCCCCCCCCCTCTCTCTTGACAAGAAATACTCGCTATATTTAATCATCAGGAGTAACAACCTGTTTATAAGGACCTATAAATATCCACATGCAAAATACCCACTTAATTTGGCAAGCTCAATAACTCTTGTGTCAAACATATTCATGCTTCATAAAGACATTCACTTTATTCATCTCCTTTCGGCTTTTTGAAAAGTATTGATAAATTATTCCGATCGAACGACTCCATTACTACCAAGGTGTTCATCAAAACGCGAGTTAGCCAAGCCGCCACTTTGTTAAAACACAAAATACTTCCGACAAGGTCACGAGGGTCATCCATGTTTTTGTGGATGTTGTTAAGGACCGGTTGTATTGAATGGCAGCCATGTCTGAATGAGGTATTTGCTACTTTAGATAAATTAATTAATAAAATGGCTATTTTACAGGGTGATGAGCATTACAGTAGAGTTACACGTGAAGAGGTCGTTATACAGATTAGAGGAGTGTCGATCTCTTCATGAATTGAAATCTCTTTCAAATCTACGGTCGTCATTTTTGGGGGACTGGGGAATCTGCTGAGCATTTATTGATGGTTTTCAAGGAGTTTAACGAACGCCCGGTAAAACTGTCGTAATCGTACTCAATAATTTATGCAGATGATTTTTTATTTGGGCGAGCGATTGTGGATCCTTTGCAAACTACACTGTTGTCAACGGATTGAGAGAGGAAGAGAGAGAGAGAAAAGGCATAGTTTGTGTCGAGTGGACGTTAAACTCTCTCTCTCTCTCTCTCTCTCTCTCTCTCTCTCTCTCTCTCTCTCTCTCTCTTTCTCTCTCTCATAACTAGCTAGCGACATCTCAAATCTTTCGATGGGTCTCCTTTTTAATCTGATTGAATCCAAGCCCAGATATTGTCTACCATTGGTATTTTGTTTTATTAATTTCTTCGCATCGTGCTCCCATATTAGAAATCTAGAAACAGACAGGATTAGCTTAAAGTTCTATACCAGTAGTTTCTCTCAGAAATAGGCTCCATTGTGAAATGATTGCAGTCGATCTTCCAAGATGAAACATTCACTGATTTTAAGACAAGAATTTTAATAAAGTAAAATAACGATTATTCTAGCTGTATTTTTTTTTTATTTTTATTTTTTACCCGGTGTATGGAAGAGTTGGTTTGAATTTCATTAACTGTGATGAATCACAGGTGAGCTATGTCCACCCATTCATCTTACCTGGCTGGCTATAACATCACGGGACGGAAATAACACCTGGATTAAAATACACTTCACTTCTATATATCACAGTTGATATTTATATACCATACTTTATAATTCCTACTGATATACCATGCTTTATAATCCAGACTAGTATACCATGTTTTATAATCCCCACTAATATACCATATATTATTAGCCCTACTGATAATATGCTTTCCAACCCCGACTGATATACCATGTTTTATAATCCCTTGTGATATACCATGTTTTATAATCTCGACTAATATACCATGCTTTATAATCCCTACTGATATACCAGGCTTTATAATTCCTACTGATACACCATGTTTTATAATTTCGACTGATATACCATGCTTTATAACCCCTGCTGATATACCATGCTTTATAATTCCTACTGATACACCATGTTTTATAATCCCTTCTGATATACCATGTTTTATAATCTCGACTAATATACCATGCTTTATAATTCCTACTGATACACCATGTTTTATAATTTCGACTGATATACCATACTTTATAACCCCTGCTGATATACCATGCTTTATAATTCCTACTGACACCATGTTTTGTAATCCCTTCTGATATACCATGTTTTATAATCTCGACTAATATACCATGCTTTATAATACCTACTGATATGCCAGGCTTTATAATCCCTACTGATACACCATGTTTTATAATCTCGACTGATATACCATGCTTTATAATCTCGACTGATATACCGTGTTTTATAATCCCGATTGACATACCATGCTTTATAATCTCGACTGATATACCGTGTTTTATAATCTCGACTGATATTTCATGCTTTATAATCCCGACTGATATACCATGTTTTATAATCTCGACTGGTATACTGTACCATATTTTATCATCCCGATTGACATACCTTGATATGAAGGCTATCGGTAGTCATTAAAACCACGCAAATCGGACCAAAAAACCCCCCGAGATCCCATGTATACGTTCGTATAACCTGTCTAACATTCAATCAGTGATTTATTTCCTCTATGCATGGATAATATTTCATAGAAATAAAACCTTTTTATTCGTTAAATATGTGAATCAGTGTAGTCATATTCATGTGAAAGGTATTTACGAATCACATCACGTGTTCGTCTGTAGATTAAAGTATGAGATATACATCAGTAGTTTTCTATCAATGAAAAAAATACAAAATAATAAAACCGGGTTTCATTGATAAATCATAGCTGTACATCGTCTTCCCTTCATTCAATGTTATCTGTAGTTTTCACATGATAACATCTCAATTGATCACCTATCAATGATCTGACAGTCGATTTTATCTGATATATCCTAATCATTTTGTTTTATATGTGGTGGCTATCATATCCTTTAAAACGGAAATGAAATTAGGAATAACGTGCTACTTCTCTACACCAACTGGGCTAACGAAGACGGGCATCAGACGCCATACAGTGTGCCCGGACATTGTGCTACGGCCTACGTATCAATATCCGTTTTGATATAAAGAAGTAAAATGGGGTTTAACGTCCTACTGTTCTGCTCCGATTGGCCTAATGAAGACTGCGTTTTGATATCATTACTTTTATCATGAATATTTGGTCTTTTAGTTTGGAATATTAGGTCTTTTAGACTGGAATATTGAGCCTTTTAGACTGGAATATCGAGTCTTTTAGACTAGTCTGTTTAGGCAGGAAGATGTGGTATTTTACTCTGGAAGACAAAGTCTTTTAGTCTGGACTATTGGGTCTTTTAGTCTGGACTATTGGGTCTTCTAGTCTGGACTATTTGGGTCTTTTAGTCTGGAATATTACGACTTTAATCATGTTAACTAAAATACATCACGTCCTGATATAAAATAAACCTTGGATAATTTATTTATATAGCGCTGCCTTTCCACGACCCTTTAGCTAACAACTGAACCATGGACGACAATGAGGGAGACACGGTGGCTAAGCGAGTAAGACGCTGGGTCGCTAGCCAGGAGGTATTTTCCGACATGGTTTCCCTTGCCAGTGGGACAGGAAGGAGGGGTGGGGCTGAAAAGGACTGCTGTTTAGTCGTTAGGATGGGACGAAAAACCGAGGTCACGTGTACAAATTGGGGCGCAAGTAAAATATCCCTTGGCAGTTGGAATTCGATATAAGAGTAGGCCGTAGCGCCGCTGTCTGGGCAAAATTTCCCTCATAGCATACTGTATGGCACATGCCCTTCTCGATTAGCCCAGGAGGACGTTAAACCCCATTTCATTCCCTTTGGACGACAATAAATTCACTTTGATGTCCTTCGCTCGTGCTCTTTTTATCTCCTATTGATCAACTGATTTAGCGAAATTTAAAAAGAAATCTATTCAGATGAATCTACCTTTTTACCTTTCCACCGATAATTAAAACATCTAGTTTTATTCAGGTACGATAATAAATTCTCAGGTGTGCCGCTATTAAAACCCTAACCATTTTATGCCGGTGATAGAAAGTGGGTGAAAGAATTTGAACATCAAAGCTCCTCTTCAAAGGCTGCACTTAGAACTTCTGATCATCAATAACTACTGATTTGTGACTAAAAACCTTTCATGAAGATATTTTATTTCTGTCGGATTCCCGTCGTAAGTTGTAATTATTTTATTATATTTGTGGTAAACAAAGGTATGAATTAAACAAGAAAATAATTTGCAATATTTTATGACTGCATTCACGGTGGATTTTATTCCATTGTGGTTCTTCAGTCTGTTGTTGTTTTTTTGTCGTTGATTCCAAGGGCCGAGACAAATCGTAGAACTAATCAAGCTGGATAGTACGATGTGTTGCTGCACCTAACGAGTGGTGTTGTAGACAAAATTGGGGTTAGAAGGATCTTTTTATTTGTAGTAAGGGGTAGTGCAGTACGAATGGTATGTGGATTAAGAAGGGTCTCTGGACTATTGTCAGGGGAAGGTGGGGTAAGAAGGGTATGTATACGTGTAGCTTGAGGGGTGGGGGAGGGGGGTAGAAAGGCCCTGTGTACATGTTGTAGGCAACAATAATACTATGTGTTATTGTAGGGGAAAGTGGGGATAAGACGTGTATTGTTACTTGTAGTAGGTGAAAGTGGGGTAAGAAGGACCCATTAACTTCAACAGTTCCCAAATGATTTTAAGTCTGTATCCTTGTAATATTGTAATATGCATTAAGGACACATTACAATAAGATAGCTGCCAAAACTTTCTCCCGGCCGTCAGAGAACATTATAGATGTGTATCAAAATGGTCTTCTCACAGTTGACTTTCAAACCAGACAAAAGAAGTATAACTAAGATATTTTCTAATATTTTTTTAAAACAATTTATTTCGTGTTCTCTAGCACTTTATACAATATTTAAATTCTATAAACATGATATATATACATTATTTTACCTATAGTACATTTATTATTCATTTAAATAACTTCTACCTCTCGAGGGAACTCAGAAAGTTAACGATTGCATAACACCAGTAACCACTCTAAAACTTTTCTGTGTCGTATTCAGAAGTTTATGTAGCAAAGACGGCTTCAACTTAAAAATAATACTGGTCAACATAAGGCTTCCCCACACCTACATTTTAGCTTTTTACTAAATAAGTCTACTGTTTTCCATACATTTTAAGTTAGGTTCGTTCCTTCAATAGTTTAAAACAAAATGCAAAAACTCAAATGGCCAATCTGAAAGTGTCTGGTTTGAACTTATATCTAATACTAGGTTTCCTCTATGACGAGTGCACCTACAAGACTTTCTACAGATTGATGTGTTTGTATATCAACCAAATGATTTATTTCATCGTTTCTCATGCGTAGGTTTTAAACATTAGTTTATCTACTATTATTGGGTCCTGATTCACGAAAATTTGAACTAAAATATTATAAGAATCCTGCCATTTTATTTGGTTAGGGATTAATACCCTAGCACAAATTTTATCTCTGAGCCAATGAAAAGCCAGCATTCTTCAAATATTTTAGTTGGAGTTGTCGTGAATAAGGTCCGATGTTGTCCTTCAGAGGAAATTCGGAATCACGAGCTACTGAAAACTAATATTACCCCGGTATCATCGAGACTCCTGAACAACACAACTCCTTTTCTCTCGCCCTTATATTATTAAACATTATTTTATTTACTGTCCTGTCTGGTTGTTCTTTTAAGGGCAATTCTTCTTCCGGAATATTTTATTTTACAACAGAAGCTCCTGGTCACTAATAGTGAGCATATCAATTATTCCGGTAAACTCAAGGCGCAACACAACTCATCGTCTCTAGCCAAAAATTATGTCACACACACGCATGCGCCAACACGACCCTGGTGTGGTAATCACGTCGATTCCCTTGCCAACGTTTGACTCACATCTCAGCTCACTTATTCGAATCTAATCATCAAACTGCATGCAAGAATAATTCCTCCAATCACCGAGTTTATTGGATATTCAGTCAATCAATCCTCAGTTATCTTTCCTTGACGGCGATAGTGTTGTGTTGGGGGATACTGAATTAACAGGAGAACTAGATTGTGTTCCGTTATCGTTCGTATTTTCATTGTCACTACTACTTTCACTTTTGCTTTTATTCTGACTGTGTGTTTTCACGTGTTTCGCTAAATGATCACTCCTCATAAATCGTTTGTTACAGACTGGGCACGCGAATCGCTTCTCGCCCGTATGCGTTCGAAGATGGCGTTGCAGTTCGTCAGAGCGCGTGAAACGTTTTCCACAGAACAACCAGTTGCAAACGAATGGCCGTTCCCCAGTATGCCATCTTAAATGAGCTTTCAAATGTGACGTTTTGTTGTAAACTTTTCCACATCCGGGTATATGGCAGCTGTGTACATTCCTTTTTCTTAAATGATCACCAGCAGGGCCGAGACGATCTGCTTCGTGACAATTCGGACAGTCGCACGTGGCTCTTCCTGTATAACGTCTCTGAGATCGTGGACTACCCAGTGCCGTTAAGCCACCTGGTCGAGAGAGAAATGACGTCATGGCCGATGCTCCTAAGTCTCCTTGTGATGGTAGCATTGATTTGTAAGTGTCCTGTAGGAGATGTTGTCCGGCTGCTGACGGAAGTAAAGACCCAGGGTTGGATGCGAGAGAGTGATTTAACGAATAATCCGACGGTGAGTAGTTGCTGGATATTTGAGAGTGGAGACCTGCTGACGAGCTGGGGATATCCGATAACCAGTTTCCAGGGGCGTTGTGTATTGACGGGGAGCTGTGCGGATCCCACCAAGATGTTCCACCATTTACACCACTTGGCATCTCCGTTTTAATTCCGTGCGTTGTGGCCGCTTGAGCTGAGGCTATACCAGTGAAGGGCCAGGATTCGTACGGATGGTTGGAAGGCACTCGAGAATACATGCTCCCCAATCCAGCGGCAGCATTACCCAAACCGCTCTCCCCCATCTTCTGCAAGAAAGCCGCCTGGGAGATATCACATTGTGAATAAGCATTACTTCCAACTGAGGGATAAAAAATGTCATTATTGTAAGATGTTGGTGACGTAGTATTTGACGTTGTCCTTGGATACGTTAAACTATTGGTCGTTAATGACGTATTAAATCCCGACATCCTCTGTGTTGCTAGGTGAATAGGACTAGTGGCGCCACATCCAGGTTTTTTCCACGGCATGAAGCCTTTACCAACTGTAGCCTCGGCAAGTGGAGGTGGAGTTCGATTGTTTATTTTACTGCACTGTGCTGCTAACATGGCTAAAGGGGTTCCTCCAAATGGTTGTGGGTCCTGGAAAGACACAAATTAAAAATTAATAAAACTACGGATTTAGATTCTTCACAGGTTCATTATCAAACACGACTGTTACGGAGAAACTATACTTTATCAGGAACCCACTATCATCGTATTACTGGATGACGGGGGCAAAGGGTGGACTGGATAACCTGCTCTAATACGCCGAACTTGCCCCCTTCTCTGCCGTGACGTAAGAACAGAATGACATCATTTAGAGCAAGTTATCAGGCCTATTACCAAGGATGTTAAACTGTAATAGTAAGTGCAGGAGGATCGCACTACACACAAGACACAAATCTACAAGATAAACCTGCGGACAAGACAGAAAATAGACATTGCACCAATTTTGACAAAAATCATCCTCAGAATCTATGGAAATAAAATTTGAAAAGATATTTAAAATGGTCGATGTATATAGGTGTTGATATATTTCGTAATGGCGGAAGACTAGTTTTGATATTAATAGGTTTAGTTACAGAATCACAGGTACATCGTCTTTCAGGTATTCTCTTGCAATAATATTCACCAGATTAATCATTTCTAGTATTCAAAACATCATTTGCTTATTGAAAGCCATAGAAATGTAAACTTAGGGGTTTTTTCATCATAAATAGGCTAGGTTCAATTCTCTGACAACATTTTAACTTATTCACTAGTATTAACGGGAACTGGATACATTATATCGGTATGAATCGCTACAAGAAGCTAACCCGACATTTCTATGAAGCGAGACGAGTGACCATTGTGTTACGTTTCAATAACTTCACCTCGAACATAAATTATTTGCCTAAACTTTTAAATGTGTATAAACACACGTCTCGGATGCTTCAATAAAACTTTTATCTAATTTACAAAATGATGTTTTCTTTTTTATATTATTTAAACTTTTAATCTGTGAATCTCCAACTCCCATAACACGCCTTACAATTTTCACCTACAATTCAACCCTTTCTAGCCCCGACATTTGTCGCCTTTTCAAAGAATTACATAAATGTATTTAAGGGGCTTTATAAAAATAAACTACATCCCCACAACACAAACTTGTCTCAATGGATAAATTCATAAACTTATTGCTTTAAGCTTCTATATCAATATTAGCTATTTCACGGCCACAAACAAAAACTCATCTTTTGAGAAAACACTTAAGGAATTGTAGTTGCTTGAAGCGAAAGAAAAGCACTTGGTTGAATGTCTATAGGCAAGGCTGTTTAGTATTTTTATGTTATTGGGTGCAAATTTTCAAATATTTCAATACACGAGATCAATAAATTATTTGCTAGATGATGTTTAATTTTCAGCTTATTTAAAAGATATAAACGGACCTTAGACTCTGTAAGGACAAGTATGTCTATGTTATTATTCACATTTCTCAAGTTTTTGAGGTGTTTTTAGTTATTTGTATACATTTGGGGTGCTTTATTTTTTTTTATTTCGGTTGATCCAGAATTATTTAATGATTTAGTCATATTTCTCAACGTTTTTGATGGTGTTTTTAGTTATTTGTTGTTATGCTTAAAATACGAGGCACTTTTGATCCAGAATCATTGGTCGGACAGCTGCCTGGGCTAAATGTCCGTGTAAAGTCTGCACTCTTCTTGTGTATATCCGCCTGGACATTAAAGATAGCACATCATTAGTCGTCTGAACAGGTTTTTTTAAAAATGAAATTGGGTTTAACGTCCTACTGTTCTGCTCCTACGGGAACAATGAAGACGTGTATACGCCATACAGAATACTATGAGGGAAATCTTGCCTGGACAGGATCATTTTTTTTTTTAAAGTTATTTTATTTATTTTTTTAAATTATTTTTTTGTAGTAATGATTGGGGATTTTTTTTGTCGGTAAATATACGAGGAATATGATCAAGGTCGTTGGTCAGACGAAACTGCCTTGGCTAAATGTCCGTGTTGAGATCACCAGGAAGTTTTATTTAGAGATCTCCTAGCGGTCTGAACAGTACAATAACGTTATATATTCGTTTATTCCTGACCTGAAATAGAGTTGGAGTTCTCCTGGTGCAAATCTTACATGAATTAAATGAAACACAAATCTGATCTGATATCAAATTTTTTAAAAAAAATATATAAGTTGTTTTATGAATAGAATAAACGTGGGATTCTGATCCCTAATGTCAACCATTTTGATGAATCAGAAACCTATTTATTTAAATGCAGATCATTTAGACAGACTTTATTTAAGGTAATGTTGCGCATCGCACTTAAATCCCTTAAAACCTGATCCCTTTAAAATAAAAACTTGAAATAAAATACCCCGAGTCTATTGTTGTTCGAACACTGAAAACATTAAGATGGTATCAGGGCTAACATTAGGGGAATCTTTAACAGTTGATGTCGTTACCCAATCCAACTTCTAACACCTCGCCGACGATAGAATACTAGCACGTGAGACAAAAGGAATTAGTTCATGATGTCATTAATAGGTTACGGAGAATTAACTCCCCCTTTTCTTCTCCTCTTTAATGTAAGGAGTTAGATTAAGTGTATGATATACCATGGATGTAATTAATAGCCGAGTGAAACATGACATAACTATATTTTATTTTATAATATCTATATGTGTGGTATTAATTATCAGTTTAATCTTTCAATTCAGTTCATCAACAACATAGCATTATCAAATATCAAAATCTAGATTTTAAATTTAAAAAAAAATCTTGTTCTGTTGCTACAAATCTGTATTATTGCACGGATGCTAAAAATCTGTATAAGGGAGTTTTACTGTTGCTACAAGATTGTATTAGAGAGAGGGAGCGAGAGAGAGAGAGAGAGAGCGAGAGAGAGAGAGAGCGAGAGAGAGAGAGAGAGGGAGAGGGATAGAGAGAGAGAGGGAGAGGGAGAGAGAGAGATTTATTGTTGCTACAAGACTGTATTAGATAGTTATAATATTGCTACAAGACTGTATTAGAGAGTTATAATATTGCTACAAGACTGTATTAGAGAGTTGTAATATTGCTACAAGACTGTATTAGAGAGTTGTAATATTGCTACAAGATGACTGTATTAGAGAGATTTACTATTGCTACAAATCTGTACGTTGTTAAGAGTTTGTATAATCGAGTTGTAATGTTGCTAAGAACCTGTATAAGATAGCTGTATTGGATACTAAGACGTTCATAATATACCAAATCGGCATCGACCCTACTATTAAAACCAATTTATACCAGTCCCATAACTGGTCTTAATACAGGAATTCCACAGTAATTTGGTAATTAATATCATCAGTTCACTCGATGAATAACTGTCTTAATCTAAAACCGTGAGATATTTAAGCTAAATGACCTTAGAATCCAATTTCAATGTTCTTAGTTTTTTATATGACATATATAATTTATTTGTTGTATCTAGTCTTACATGATCCATTTAAATGGAACATTAATTATACATTTATAAACAAACTTTTCATCAATACAATCACAGTTCTTTGTCATCTAATAAAATAATTCCTGGTTCACATTTCAAATATTTTTGTTGGGTGAATCATTGAGATTTTATATAAAATTAAAAGAATGCAACCCAAGTCCTATTTAGAGAAAAATAATTACTATTTGGAATTTTATCCGTAGTGAATTTATATTTTTTGTTATACTAAAACAGGCGCGGGTCCAGAGTGGGGGGGGGACAATTTTTTGCCTAATATATTCTCGCGGGAAAGAAGAACAGAATACTTAAATATGGTAGTGATCCCCGTCGTAAGTCGGCGGTCCCTGTGTTCTTGTGTGGTGACTTGGTTGATTGCCCGTCAGTCCGCCCACCGAGGGTCGGGCTTCGTACTCCCAAGTGGGGACAGCCTCCCCCCCTTTCTGAAAATCCTGGATCCGCCCCTGTACTATATATTCAGTAGCTAAATGTAGTTATATTGATACCCTGGACACTATTCTACAATCTGATTAAAACACAGATCCTATTTCGTTTCGTTTTTATTAATTCAAAATTTTGTTTACTTGTTTTTGCGACACCACCAAGATCTGGAAGAGTTGTTATAAAACCCGCGTTCTGGAAGATGTGAGGGATTAGCCAATGAAATGGTGTGTTACTGCGAAGTTTTGGCGTGAGATGCACGGAACTGTGGGTAACCCACTAGAAACATCAATGCCGATTGATTAATCAAGTGTCTGACGTCATAGGGTCAAAAGTCGCGCGTTTGACCTCTGATGCGACCTTCCACTACAACCGGTGAGATCTTCAGGTAGTGTATGCCAGGTAGTGTATAAAATAAACGAAATACAGATCTGTATTTGAATCAGATTGACAATACTGTTGTTTACTACAGATGATGTTGTGACTAGACATTACTTGATAAGACTATAAGCACAGTAATAAATATTGTATTCCATAGAAATGTGTATTTGATAACGACAAGGGTCGAAACGTTGTTTAGTAATAATCAGTAATTGTATTCCATAGAACTGTGACCTGTATATTCCAGTTTAATTACTAAATGACATTGGAATTATTTGAATTGATAAGACCGCGAGTTATAAAAATTAACGCTTACTCCACACAATCCAAGTCATTTCGGGACTAACATATGGTTCAATTTTATTTTAATAATTCGCTTAGGCGCAGGGGTCTTTAGCTGAGAACCCTCGAAATCACGAGGCGATAGAATTAGTCAAATACAAAGATATGAAAAAATACATTTAACGATACAGAATTTACGATTTCTTCATTAACAAAATTTAAAGAGGGTGCTTTTAAAATTCTTATCAATTTATCTATTAAAACAATAATATTATCAAATATATTTTACAGAACATATCTAAAGATCAAAATGAACGGAAAGAGGAGACGTGAAGAAACAATTAACCAGTGAAAAGTGAAAAGACGTTTACCATTTTATCCTTGACATATGGAAATCCATTAATATTTTGTTGTAGTTTTTGTGTTTTTGTGAGTTTCACGCCTCGAGAATTCCTCTTGTTGAATGGTACAATAAATAGCAAATTTAGATTACTATAAATAATGAGCGATGC